TGGTAGTAGTGCTACTTGTGGTGGTACTACTGCTGCTCGTGGTAGTACTACTTGTGGTACTGCTACTAGTTGTTGTAGTACTAGTGGTAGTAGTAGTGCTACTTGTAGTACCGCTGCTTGTGGTACTGGTAGTAGTACTAGTAGTGCTACTGGTGGTACTGGTAGTGGTACTCGTAGTACTGCTACTACTCGTAGTAGTACTACTTGTGGTACTGGTGCTGCTCGTAGTAGTACTGGTGGTGGTGGTCGATATCGCTAAAATATAAAACATTTATCGTTTATTGAATTAGATTAGAAAGAACTTATATTAAAAACATTAATATGAGATCAAATAATTCAAGCAACATTTCATTTGCTTTTTGTCAACTTTTCAAATAATAGTCGCAAAAAACTAATTATCAACTACAATTTCATAATGTTCTATTACACACAAATAACTTACTGCAATTGTTGGTTTGAAGAGCGAATTGTTGCACTCGACTATTATTTCGATCAGTAACATATATATTTCCATAACTATCAAAAGCCATACTTTGTGGAAATGATAATTGAGACGCAGATGAACCACCTCCCGAACATCCTACTATACATCGAAAACCATAATAACTCGAAGCAACAATACGATGATTATAACTATCGACAATAAATAAATAACCATTAGCATCGAGGACAATTCCAGTGGGATAGTTAAGTATAAAATTTGTTGAAGATCCATTACCAACGATTGTCACTCCATTTAATTGACTAGTTTGAACGAGTTGAATACGATTATTAGCACAGTCTGCAATATATAGGTTTAAATTACTATCAACATAGATTCCTTGCGGAGAATTAAGCATATTTGATAGTGATCCAGCAGAACCATTACCGGCTGCGATTGTCGGGATGGTTGTACCATTATTAAGTAAAAGTTTAACAACTTGATGAAGATTTTTAAGGGAACAATAAAGATTATTATTAATATCAAGAAATAAACCATAACAACTTCCATTAACATTCATAACAGTAACACGATTTGATGTATTAAATATATATTTATCAACTCGACCATATGAATAACCATTATCAATATAAATATCACCAGTCATAGACACAAAAAGACTATATGAATTATTCAAATTACTATAACTATTACTTGTATATGTAGTACTTCCTTGAGGCCATGATAAAATAGTGTTACTATCTCGATTAGGTACATACACAGTATTAATTCCATTAATAAAAATACCATAAGGTAAAGTACCAGCTGTACTACTGGATGCAAAAGTTGATGCATTAGAATACCATGAAGCATCAGAACAAAATGTTGGTTGATTATAAGAAAGACCTAAAAGAAAATAAATAAATGTATACCATCGAAAACATAAATTAAAAAGTAACTTACTACAGGAATTTGATGCTATAATGAACTTTTGCACTCGACTGTTATATCTATCAGCAACAAATAGATTTCCATGACTATCAAATCTTAAAGTTTCTGGATAATACAATTGACTTGATGAAGAACCAGCAGTAGCTGTACATCCAAATAAACATCGAAAACCATATGGTCCTGACCCAACTATTCGACTGTTAAAAGTATCCACAATAAAAAGATACCCATTACCATCTAATGTAATACCACTTGGCTGATTAAGTGTAATAGTTCCTGGTGCACTAGCTCCTGCTAAAGTTATTCCAGTTAATTGTCCAACGGGAAACATTTGTATTCTACTGTTATAGGAATCTGCAACATATAAATAAATTTTAACATCGACAAAAATTCCATAAGGGTAATAAAGCGTAGTTG